TAAAACTGTCAACTTCTTCAAGTTGACAGCCATCAATCCCGAGATGTGCCTTCTCCTGGTCAGGGATGCAGTTTGAGAACACTTAAGTCTTCCCAGCGTTTATGCATAAACCGACCGATTGAGCGACCTCGTCCACCCGTGATACCATAGACTGCAGATCACCAAAACTTGAAGCAAGTAAGGCGATATCATCAGCATAGTCGAGATCCGTCAGTCGGTGTCCGGGTGCAAATTCAACACCTTCACCCTCGTGTAGGACCCTCCCGAGAATCCAGTCAATAGCGTAGTTGATCAGAATGGGTGACAGGATACAACTCTGTCCGGATTTCTCTACTCAGGGCTTCAGCAGTGCTGGTTTGCCGGATGTTTGCGACATCAAGGCGTCTAGGACGTGGCCTTTTTGGCGCGGATGAGAGATGAACTTTCAAGCGTAGTTGAACAGAATGGGCGACTGGATACAACCCTGTCGAACGCCAGACTGAATACCGAAGGGTTGAGTCCCTGGCGTTTGAGGATGGTCCTCGTGGTCTCCTCACAGCGGCCCCTTTGTTTGTGTCACAAAACGGTTGCGCACGCAGGCACTGTTCCAACGCCCAGGGTCACCGTCTGTGACATCAAATGCGTGAATTTGTCCGCTGGTGTGGGGCGAGTTCCTCTCACGCTGATTTTGTGCGTGTACTGTCCAGCTGATGTTGATTGATGCATGACCACCACTTTCTCCATGTTCATGGTTAGTCCAAAGTTTGTTCAACCGGAGGCAAGAAGGTCAATGCTCCGCTGCATGTCCACTCCCGTTTTGCACAGTCGTCCGCGAGCAAGAGGTCATCGAGACCTACCTGACGGCCTGAATGCGCCAACGGCTGAGCAACTCCTCTGTCCATAGCCGTTCCTCACGATGTGCATCCACCAGCTTTGCAGAGCACACAGAACTCAAGAAGGTAGGTGGGGATAACTCATAAAATGTCGGCCGAAATTCCGAAATGCGTTTTCGTTTCGAAAGGATTAAATAAGTAGGGTTGTAAAGCTAGGCAGCCTACAGCATAATTCTATAATAATTGAGTCACCTCTGGGTGTCGGCTTTCGAATGAACTTATTTCCGACTGCATGCAGAAACTATACTCTGCAAAAAATGACTACTTAAGTAGCATGCAATCCTGTCTTTGATTTTCGATGCCCCTAAAAGTCCAATTATAGTTCATGGAAAACATGGATGAAAATATTCATTCTTCCGCTCATTCGGTAGAACCTTACGTCTTCTTTCAGTTTTGTGCTCGAAGGAGAAACATAATTCATTTTAAATAAGTTTCTAATTGTGAGACTTTTAAATACCGTGAAATGACCGTTCATAAAACGTCATGTCTCTGCATTTACCAATGTGGCTTGTAAATTTAGCAATGTGACTCAAATCCAATGGTAAATTTTATGAACCCCATATGGTCTCCCCGCAATACCTTAGAGAAAAGCATGGTTTTCCGTACTCGGGAAATACATGGCCTATAGTTTGTAAACCCCGAATGCAAGTGGGAGGGCAGAGCGGGTTCAAAATTATTCCGGAACTGGGAAAGTTTTTGAAAATCGAATTTTACCCTTCCGTCGAGTATAAAATTGGAAGAAGACGTAAATTTCTACCGAATGAGCGGAAGAATGAATATTTTTATTCATGTTTCCCATGAAATATAACTGGACTTTTAGAGGCATCGATAATCAATGAGAAAAATGCGTGCTACATATGTAGTCACTTTTTGCAGAGTATAGTTTTTGCATGCAGTCGAAAAATAGTTCATTAGAAAGCCGGTACCCTGAGGTAACTGAATTATGATAGAATTATGCTGCGCGATAGTTAGTTTACAACCCTACTTAATTAATCTTTTCGAAACGACAACGCATTTCGGAATTTCGGTTGACATTTCATGAGTTAGCCCACCTACTGTAGGAAATCCTGCTCGGGCAATCAGGTTACTGTATAAGATTTAGTTGATTCCATACATTGCAGTAAACTGGGCGGGCAACTTGACCCAAATGTAATTAAACTCCCGGTGGGGTTGAGCAGCTCAGGTGACTAGAGCGTTGGCTGTACTCAAGCTGTCTTTAATTCGGATCCCATCGAGGTCGCCGAGTTTTTCGCAGTTCGGTCAAGATGGATTGCCCAAAATCTGCCAAAACACCTACCAGTTAAAAGCACTGTTTAACGGTCGCCACAGTTAATTAGGGTTAATTTGACTGTGTGTGTACCCTGCAGGGTTTGATCATTTCCAGGGAAAGTCTGAAGCTTTAAACTGCGTCCCTCCAGCTTGTTGAATAATGGTATATTTTCCAAGTCTCCGACCATAGGGGCCGGCTACCAGTCACGTTTGTGTAACGGCACTGAGGGCCTCCCGATAGGGCTGACTTATGTGGACGTCTAAACCGGACATGAGAACAGGAGCCAACTTCCTGTGAAATTAAGGTTAGGTTTAGATTAAGGATTGCGTTTAGGGCTAGATTCAAAGTTAACGGTAAGGCAAGTCAGGATCAAGTTTAGAGTTAAGGCAGGAGCTAATGTTAACTGCAGCTCTAAGGTTCAGGGCGGAGTTAGGGTTAAAATTGGAGCTTATGTTGGGGTAAGGGCACGGGGGTATTTCGTCCCTTCCGGAATTATGCTCAGATCCCCCTTTATTACTTGGGGGAGGCGTTCCTATTTTCATGTCCTGTTTAGGTGGCCACGTAAGTCGGTCCCGCCGGCTGCCTCCCACCGGACCGCCTCTCTGGCTTCTGATTTAGGATCTCATCACTGTGTAAGGGTCGAGCAACTTTTTCGTGAGCAGTGGACGAGAACAGCAAGATTCTAAAATCACAAACC